GGTTTGTTTTCAGGTACTTTAGGGGTGAAGTGGCTGTTAGAAATACGGTTCCAGTACATATGACTAGCACAACGCCGCTCGAGTGTCAGCCATAGGTCCCCAACAGACCTTAGCCTGGCCTTATAAGATTTCTTCATGACCCGATTGGCAAGGTCTTCGCAAGCCGCATGTAGCCCAACAAACATGATTCCCTCCCATTCTGAAGGTTTATCAGACTTCTTATTCAATTCGTAGGTAGCATGAGGATAGATCTTCTGCTCCAGAGGAAGTAAAATAAGGGAAGGATGTTGGTAGTCTGGTTTCGTGGCGTGGCGAGAAACTTGATCATCGTTGACCCTTAAAGATGAAGGCGACTCGAGTAGCTGAGGCCAGTGCGGGCCAGACAATGCGACGACATCAGTCTTCCAACCCTCTGAGCGTCTAAGCGCGATGCCGCAAATTGTGCAGCTGTTGAATCTAGAGTCGTATCTCATAGTCGACAGTACAAGGAATAAGTAGTAGAGATTTGGAAAGTGGCCAGTAGAACAAGTAGTCAGAGCGCCCGAAGATGAGTCTCCTGGAATTTTTGCTTCGAGGTTATCGTGTTAAGAAAGAAAAGCGATAAAAAGAGAAAAATAAAGAAAAGCAATACTCGTGGCCCCATCGCGAGCTAGATTAGTTATTTATAGTTGGAACTTGTGGCTGAGAACTTAAATCGGTAGAGAGAACCTTGATGAGTGTTTGTTCCCGGAAGGTTAACTTTAAAGCCAGCGAAGGGAAAAGTAGCTCGAGGATGAGAAATTCAAATATGAAAAGACAAATGAGGAGCTCTAAACATCCCTCCAAAGATAATTGGACCAGTGGTAGAGCTCCAGACGTAAACAGCGGACTCCTTGTTGACCAAGAGTCAAAAGTATTTGTAACATGGGATGAATCTAGTAAGGGAACAAAGCCAAAGAGAAAATCTTGTATTATCCTTGTACATACTCTAAACGCCAGATCCTACCAACCGCCATTTGCTCTTTTCCAATGATTACATGACCTTCATTCCCATAGCAGTGTTGCTGGCCATACCAGCCAACTCAAAATGCTGCACCATCTTGGCCGATCCAGATCCACCCGAGACATCGAGAACAGTGACAGCAGCCTGAGTAGTACCATTTCCAGGTGAAAGAGCATAGAGGAAGTTGCCAGAAGCAGCGAGATCGATCAGGCCAGGGTCACCGTTGCAGGTCAAGTCAAGCTCAGATACAACGCTCGCGTCCTCGAGGCTCATCTCGACAACTCGGTTGCGGCCGACATCTGTCACGAAAGCAGATTTGGTAGCGGGGGAAATGGCGACCCAGCACGTGGCAGTTTGGCCGTCGACTGCTCCCTTGGCGGCGGTGGTGGCTTCACAGTTGTTGGGATCGACATCGAGAATGGCTGCGCCAAAGGAAGCATCTGTAGCGAAGACCTTTGATGTTCCGGGGATTACCTGCGAGCCGAAGAGCACAGCTGTTCCTTCAGGTGAACTGCGGGCATCCTGCTTGCTCACAGCCGCGACTCCGTTGTTCATCTCGACATTTGCGACGGAGATAAAGCCAGTGTTGTTCACAGCAGGGTCGCCCTTAACCATCGTGAACAGCATGGACTCATCTTCTGAGAATAGCACTTGTGAAAGTGTGTTTGTAGGTCCGGCAGGAGGTGTTGTTTGACCGAGATCAATCGTTCGTAGTTCGTCCATAGCACCGAGTCCTTGTCGCGAGAAGCTGCTGCAAGAAACGCCGGCCTTGGCACCAGTTGAGCCAACACAGACAACTCCATTCTTGGCAGAAGCAGCGACAGTGTTGGGAAACTCGCCGGGGACTTGGACCGGTTTTCCGACCATCTGTAGTTTTGTAGGATCAGACCGTGAGACTCTAAGCATGCTGAGGGTGTTGGAGCCAGCGTTGACAGCGAAGATGTTCTGGACTAGGGTTAACAAATGATCCATGGTATCTATGGGAAAGTTTAGACTCACGTTGCCTGCAATGGTCAAGGCAGACTGGCTGATCAAAGCGTCAGGCGTAGCGGGCTTGCCTTCAGCGTCAACAGCTACAGAGCCTGCACCGCCGGTCATGGTAACCTTGCCCTTAGACAGTGTACCGTCCTGGCCAATGGGGATCGCGAGGACACCGTTCGCCTTCTCGTTGGTGAGAATATAGATCGCCTTGCCTGTCATAGCATTGCTGTTCATTCCGGGCTTGCATGCTGGGTGGCTGGTAGCTTCCTGCGCAAGCCAGAGTAAAGCTGGGAGAAAGAATCCGGAAGAGAACATGTTGTTTGATGTGTTGGTGGTGGAGTTGGTAAGAGAGTGTAGAAAGAAAGAAAAATATTAAAAAGCAGGCCTGCTGCAGAGAATGAATGAGAGAAGAATGTTTGAGTGATTGAATGAAGATATTGAGTTTATTGAACGCGTCGCGATCTTCTTTATAGTAATCTCTCGTCCAGACTCAACATCTCCATATAGTCTATTTGCAGGGATAAGTCTCGACATCGAAGTAATCTGAATCTCCTCATTAGGAAAGGTAGCATTTTCACTGCAACATAAATGGCCAAATCGAAAGTCCAACTAGCTTAAAATGTGAAACGATGCTGAAGAATCATCCACAGTTCGGAAACAACATAATGCGACTTGGTTGCCGTGCTGCCGGCTAAAGTGAAACCGGGGTCTAATGGCCCCTGTTTGGAAGTCAGATCTGTGCTTCCAAACTCCGTAATCGCAATTTCCATTTTGGAAGCGCCATAGCATCATTTCAAGATTTTTCCAGTGGCAGGAAAGAAGCAATAGACGTCGTTGGCAGGGATTGATCATCTAGTGTGTAGATATTCACAACTCAATCATATGAAGAAAGGCCTTTGTTGGCGCGTAAGGAACACGATGACGACAGGGATCAAAATGGGTGCACGAGCGAGCATATGGATAACCTTATCATACAAGGTTAACGATACTTGATGTGACCAAGTTCAAATTTGTGGGAACAAACTTATTTGGTTCGCCGACGATGCCATTATTTATCCTTGCAAATAGCAATAGTTTCTCTTGACCACTCGGTATTCTCCTTGATGAGACATGATATCACAGCCTATTCGCTAATCCCTCCCCGGGTCAGGGCTGACATGAGTAAGACGAACCTTTCCCCATTAGGAAATTCTGATATTCTCATCTTCGGTGCCCCAAAATGAGGGGACGACGCCGAAACGCCCCTGATACAAGGGTCTCACTCAGCTAGCGCTCACCAGAACCAATGGGAACAATGCTCGCCCGTTGACTAATCTTGGATAAGAAACAAGAATGAAGCACCTGAACTGGAGTCGTTGTTTTCTTCGTCTTTATTGATCTTTCATCATTTTTACCTTTTTCGCGTTCCCTCCTCGCTCGCGCCAATCTCACAATGACTGATAGAATCTTCCGAATTTTCAACCCTGGCGGTCAGTTTGAGTTTTTGCTAACCCTTGTTTGGACAAATTACTGACGATTATCAAGAGCCCAAGGAAAATCCAGTAGAGAGGCGGAGAGCCCAACTACGACGTGCTCAACAGTAAGAAGCTCCTGGGACACTGTCTTATATAACCACTTCTAACACCCCACTCTTTTAGATCCTACCGCGGACGAAAGGATAAGTATGCTAGGACGTTGGAAGAAGAGCTAGCCAAGTCCCGATCCCGGGAAGCGGAACTCGCGCGAGAATGCGAACAACTCCGTGCTGGTCTTCAGAACGCCCTTCAGCAACTTTCTTTAGGTCCCAATTCCACCGATACTGGGTTTAGAGAGATCAACTACCCGATCAATGACTATGCTACTCCATCCAGAACCACAGGGTCATCGAGCGGCGCGTCGCCGATGTACCTTGGAGACCCGGGCTACCAATCGGTGGACATTGTACCTTCTCCACAACTGATATCACCGTCTTCGTTCGGAGACTTCTCTGACCCATCCGAGGGCCATGGCGCTCCCGTCTTGTTCAATCAAGGGTACTCGAGCCACTCGCGTGTGGGTGAAGTGGATCAGATCATTGCAGGCATGGAGTTTGTTCTAAAGTATGTCCCTCCAACACTTTTCATCGAGTCTCTGCTGACACATACTAGAATCGAAGAGCCTTGTCTGGGTCATCTCCACGGCGATGCCAAGAAGCCCGACGAGCCAGGTAACCATGCTCTGACTGCGACGGCTCAGCTCATGGCAGCCTGCGGCGATACATCACATACAAATAACCCACGTCTCCCTTCATCGCCCAGCTTTGGAAATACTCCATCATCTATGCTAGAGCGACTGTTGACACTGGCGCCTGATCTGTCGAATGAGGATGAGATGACGCCGATCCAGGCCTGGAATGATATCCGATGTCGGCCAAATTTTGGTGGGTTTAGCACAAGCAGCTTGGGTAGTCTTGCGGCGAAGTTGATGAAGGCTGCGAAATGTCACGGGTAAGTTCGTTAAGTTCCAGTGTTCCAAGGTAGCTAACAAAGAACAGGTTTGGTGCTGCGATAAAACGATCTGTTTTTGAAGGTCTAGTCTACGAGACCCTTGTCACTGGACAAACCTTTTAGTCCCTGGTGTAGACTACTGTATCATATTTACATTCTCTTTCGATTTGTTCTATCATTCCTAGGAAGGCCCTTTCATCCGTGCACACTGTTCACAACTTAGGAATGGGAACATGCTGTCTATGTTGTAGCTGATAGGCAGCTGTTCAGGCTACAATGTACGGTATCATTTGTTCGGCTCTTCATTCTTTGTCACTACTTGGCTGTAACTTACCAGTGGCTCTGACAACCTCAAGGCGTCATGTTTAGTTGCACAGACAAGAGCAATGCCATTCCCCAGGTGCGACAGTGGCAACGTCAATCCAGGTATTTAATCATTCCCAATCGACCATATGTTTCTTCTCAAACTCTCTATGCAATATATCTGTCGATGCACTAGACACGGAACTTCCCTTCACAAAGAAACAACTTGCGCAAACCTTTTTACAGACTCGTCATACAACTGATTCACTATGGATGACTTGAATACCCGACGTCATTTCTTATTGGAAGAGTTGGCAGAAATCGATGACACTATCGCGGTTTATCGTCAGCTCGCTGGAGATAATGGAGACGTTGTGAATGCTGATACCGTCGATCCGACTCTTCCTTCTAGGGGTGACGACTATGAAGACAACCACGAGAACGGCAATAACGATATCGAGGATGACCGACAAATTGCATTTGACTTCAATGGTGAGATGATGGAGATCTTCCCTGAGGGTCCAGGCTCTCCGAGTCTTACCTCCGACGACGACGTGGAAATTATCACGTCCTTACCCAAAGAACCTTCAAAGCTGTCACTTCGTGACACCCCGTTAGTTGTACTTGAGCGAGGCCCGAGCCAGGATCCCAGGTTGAAGCCGGACCAGTGGCTATCTGAGAAGCCCAAGGAGTCCTTCTCCCGAGACTTCCTCCAGGGTATTGGCACACAACGCTTATGCAACACCTTGCGTCCAGAGATTTCTGTCATTATGCTCGCCCACCCCTACGCTGAGGGATGTCCTGCCAATAAAGCCTGCCACCACTGGGAGTTGCGCTGGGATGACAGACCCCGCCGAGACCCTGGAACCATTGAGTTGGAGCTGATCTGCCTTGATCGCCGTGATCGCGGGGATTACATCGATCCCCCTGGTAAGAAGTTCTATATGCTTGACCAGGATCATCCTCAACCCATCAAATGCGATCCGTGCGTCTTGTTCAATGGTCTCAAGCCTGACTTTAGTTGTCTGGATGGAACAAACCTTGATGTGGTTTTGTTTCGGATGCTTCAACCTGACGATGGCGAGGACGATGATCCCGTTGAGGGGCGAGATGAGTCAGAAGGTAACAACCTTGATTACCCTTTTGAAAAGATTGGTTGGACCGAATGTCACAGGTACATGGATCGCTGTGGTCGTCAGCTTGCGACAGTGTTGTATGAGTGAACAATGGACCGATGTCTGGTAAGCTCGCTCTGATTCGGTGGTAAATCATGGAGGCCAGGATATGAGGCAATTCTTTTCCGAGACGACGTTATGGTTCTGTCAGTGGTTATAGCTGGTCAAGATGGGTTTGGTGTAGTGAAAAGGTTCATTATGGGAGCGCCACTTGTGTTTTATGGTGGCGAGGTAGCAAATGGAATGTACGTCTTGTCATTTATTAAAATGGAGCAGAGGTCATAACGTTGATAGTTCTCCTCAGGTGTAAATTTTTCAACATGTTTGGCGTAATGCTATGACGGTGCAGCTTCCAGTGAGTAGTGGCTAGTGATGAAACTTAGATCGTTCCATTCAAAAAACACTATTCTATTCAGTCAGTCAATTACCTATTCTAATTAAGTCTTTAACTTTGGTCAAAGCTATAAATACAAAAGACCAGTGACAACTACTGATGCTATCGCTCTATCTTGGTAGAGACATTACATCAGGGCCACAGGAAGTTACACGAGAATAGGCTGGTCGACTTGTTCCAGAAAGCCATAAGGTTACTGTTCCAGTAATATACAATACATACCGCTCCGAGGTCTTGAGCAAGGTTCTCAAGGCACGACATCTCGTTGCTGACATGAATGGGCGCTCCCCACGTCATCGAACTGTTGCGATATAGGTTCTTGACCTAATATTTCACCCAAATGCCAACCATCTCCAGAAAGCGACACTTCTGCTGCAGTGGCTCTCAACCCTTGCCTCCTTCTTCTCATTCCATATTTCTTCGCCGTGCTATACCCAGGCCTGCATTCACAAACCCCTCACTTCAACCATGTCTTCTCCTGTCGTGTGCTTGCCGCGGTTATCTTCGCCATAATGAACCACGATCAAGGGAGAGGATTTATGTATCGTATCATTAGGCAAGTGGTACACGTGAAGATCAGTGGCATGGGTGTTGTGACGAGACAGTTTGATCACATTGCTTCCAACCTGGCCATCCTGGTCTACTCCCAGGTCGCGACTGACTCGCATTGGCAATCTTTCCCTCCCACCCCTGCCAATCATCTATACCCAATCCGCCATGTCTTCTCAAGATTGGCGAAAGAAAGTTTGATGCCTACAAAGTTCATTTCAAAAGTGCGGGGATGGCTAGATAAGATCTACCAGATATATCGCAAGGTGCCAGTTTTATGCAGAAGTGGGAGAATGCTTTTATTGGAATGGGATGCTGAACAAAGTACCGAATATTTTTAATTCATTTCTGGGACCGCTTAGAGGTTTCTCCTGCCGGCCTCCCCGATTGTAGTACTACTACTCATGCAAGACCAAGTCCAGATTCGGCCACACTATGGAAGTATACAAAATGGCCTGAAAATTCATCAAAGATGAAGCTGGTAGATTCAGGACATGGCAGCTTCGATTCATGTCTTCACAGAGCCACTCGACTTTATCCAGCCAGTGCCGCAAATACCGAGTTATGTTTTTGACTTCCTAATGATTCAAGTACGAGATAGCAACACACGTCCATGTTTGGGGTTCAATGCTACTCTACGGGAGGGCCCGGCATATCACTAATCAAGATCTGTTGTCGCCCAAGACACGAGTTCTACGACAGCAGAAAGTGTAGGGGCCTTTGCTGAGATGTCCAAAGCCTTACCCATCACGCCATACGTGAAACTCGTTCTTGCAGGCATCGACATACATATTTGCCGTAATTTTAGAAGAACTGCGGAGAACGACTCAGTCGTTTCCCGCTCCGCATTGATGTTGCATATGTCTGTGGTCGTATTACTACACAGAGATTGAATAAAGAGGGTCGCTACAGGCTTTTGGAGCAGGAGAGCCTTCAAACCATGGCTCCTTGAGGTCGGATTCAGATATTGGAAGTACATTAGCTAATATGGACTGGGCATAAATGACAAAACTGAGAGTCTTGATTACAAATTCAGGGTTTCGCCGTGAATAAATTCCCAGGTTGTCTTGGTTGGCTTTCTCGTGCTCGAATATTTACTCTCCATCACGCGCCAACACAGTTGCATGATCCTTTGCAACCTCATTCCTAAAACTCGATGTCGTCGTCGTCATCTTCCTGTTCACCTTCGTCGCCAATTCCCCCATGTATCCTCCCCATATGAGAATAACAGTCATCCCCGTCTGTAAAGGTCTTCAAGCAGAGCCAGCAAATGTGCGTCCCACAGGCCGTGCAATTAATATGATTACAACCTTCATCCTTCTGTAGGTGTGTTTTGCACTTCGGACAGTCTTTGAACCCTAGCTCTTCCTTTGCTTTGAGAAGCTCTGCCATGCCACCAGACTCGTTGCCCTTGTATTGTGCGCATGTCTTTCTCGGGTGCGAGACATGGCAGCTCGTACAGGTTGCCGTCATGCATTTAGCACAGGTAAAGATTGGCGGGACGCTCGTTTCTGGTTGGGCGATGCGGTACACCTGGGTGCATTCGGGTGTCGGACAATAGCGCAGCTGGTCTTGGTGTCGGCGCATAAAAGACATGAAAGAAGCCTCCAAGACACTTTCGAAAATCTCTGAAAGAAGCAGATTTTGGATCTCATATAGCGGAATGGCCTTCTTACAGTCTCCTCCGTCTCCAATGCATTTTATGGAGAAATCGCCGATCGTCGATGCTTCTACCAGACACATATTCACAAAGCAGATCGTGCAGTAGACATGGCCACAAGAAGTTGCGAGTGCTTGGTCGGCTTTGCAGAAACAGACTGAACAGTCGCCCTCGGCGGTCCTTTCCGTCTTTGATGGCTCACTATTGTGTCCTTTTGATCGAGGTTGTAATTCTTGCAAAAGCTGGTCAAGTGCTTCGCATGCTGGTACGAACTTGTCGTCCGGCCCGAAAACTCGAAATTTCGAGGATTTGATGTCGCGGATGATAACGACTCCAAGGTCTCGTTCAATCTCTTGAAGCTTCCTGTAAGCTCCCCTATCGGCCTTGAAATCGGGAGACCATAGATTCTTGCCGTTCAACGTCATTGTCGTTCCATTGATGATCTGTTCCAGGGCCTCTTTTGCTTGGATGAAAAGTTTGCGATCTTGGCTCTCGAGCTTCAGGACTCTGTGGCCGCGCTCAAGAACCGATGAAAAAGAAACAAATTGCCGTTCCCATTCTTTTCGCAGCGTCTCAATGCTATTTTCAACAACGCTGTAGACGCGACTCGAAACTCTGAACTTCACCAGGTGAACGTGCTGAACGTAGAGTTTTCCCGATGAGTTGAATGGCAACCACGTCTCGTTCAACTGTGAGACAGCATCAAGCGCTTCGGATTCCTCGATAAATCGTGCCTGTGCCTTGACTCGTCTTGCCGTGGGGCTCCCAAAAACTTCCCATTGTTCCAAGGCGCCTATATCATATAGTAAGGATTTTATCATAGTCGAATCAATTTCCGCGTCCGTATCGTAACTTGAGTCACCCATCTCAATCTCATACGGTCCTGCAGACAAGGGGAAAATCTTCATGATATCCTCTGAGGGAATGGTAGCCACCAAACCTTCCAGCTCCATCTGCCATGGCCCATCGTTTTGCGTGGCATCCACTGCGGCGGGCATTTGGGTTGTGACTGGCAGGCCAGCGATTTTGAGTTGCTGGTTCTTGAACTTGTAATACGCATCAAATGCTTCTGCTGGGTTCCTGAACGAAAGAGTGGCGTTTTTGGTCGGCCTATGCCATGAACAGCGGACGTTTCTGCTGTCGACGAGGCCAAATGATAATCCGTCTGGTAATGGGACAGGAATTCGGGTGACTTCCAAGTCAGGCGCTCGAATACAGGTGCCAGGTTTCCAGCAGGCCGACTTTGCGAATTCCGGATCTTTGACCTTGACGATTGCCATTCCGTTCCGATGCTTCACAAGTTTGATGAAGTTGATGTCGCTTATGGATACGCTGATGCCTACATCCGCCAACAGCTCTTGCACCGACCGTGCTGACGACTTGGAGGGCAGATGGCGCATTTGAATAGCGGAAAAGTCCGAGAGAAGAGTGACATTGGTAACAGCCGCTCCAGCTCCAAATTCGACCCCAGGCGCCTCCGATCTCGCGAGTCCACTGTTCAGAAACGAGACCATGCTTGTAAGCATGATTAGTTTTCTGCTTTCTCGTATCGGTTTGGTACAATAACCTACCTCGGATTCCTCCAACCACTCGGCGTTGGGCGTATCGTGAGCATATCTGCAAGTAGCTCCTCTCTTACAGAAACCTTTGGCAAAGAAGCGACATGTCTCTTGAAGAGGTCGGGGTCCTTCATGAGAAAAGCGACAGGCTTCGCCGTAAGAGCATATACCCTGGGCGTAGAACCGACAAGGTTCTCTTTGACGACGGTCTAGTCGTCGAGTCCGGGTCACAGGGATATCGTGAGAAAAGGGACAGGCTGCGCCGCGGAAGCACGAAGCCTGCGCGAAGAATCTACAAGGCGGCCTGTCGCGATGCTCCGGGTGCCTCCGCTGACGGTTTCGTTCTCGAAATGTGTTGGCTATCGTTTGAGTCTCGTGGTCTAGTTGTTGGCGTAGTTGTTCGTGTAGTCGCTCGACCAAGAACGGATTCAACGGAACATCAGGTTCGGGGGCAGTGGGACGCTCGAAAGTGTTGCCCATGTTTGGAGATATGGATTGTTGTCGCGTCCAGGATTTCTCCGCTCAAATGAAAATTGTCGTCGTCATTAAATAAGAAATCACGGTGGCGTTGCGGTGAATGTTAAAAGCAAATATTACACAAGACGATTCGGAGATACTGCGGCTAACGGAATGACTTAAGCTCAAGGTTTACACGACATTCAATGATTGATCTCAAGTGGCGGATAAGATGATTCGGAGTGAAGATAGAAGGTTTGATCTGGTGTCTGATATTGAGACTGTTCTGTTCGGACGATGCAGGAGGCCGATTGTTTCACTGAACGCGTGACGCGTGTTTGTGACACAATCAATAGTCAAGGTTGATCTGCAAACTTTACCCCGCAGATAAGATGATGCAGCAACAACATGCACATGCGTGTTCCTGGTGTTTCATGGTTGATGCCAACTCTGATGCAGCGTTTGGGCATGACTGCGGCAAAGAATTGGGTTATGCCACGCATTTGGATGAGGTGGCACTCGCAAACTCGGCACTGAGTGGTTAAAAGTGCCCAAGCTCAACAAGCCTAAAGGCGGTGAAGCCTTCGCCACATCATGTGTTGGCAGCTGGAAGTCGAGAGAATACTTGGGCTGAGCATAAATAACGCGGTCAGCAGCGGGCAGGGAGTCTATGGTAGAGTGACGGCCTGATATTGTCCCAAATCTGATAGTCCCGGTTATTTTGCTCACCGCTCAATCCATGCTGGGTCAGCGGGTCTTGATCCTCTCTGACTGGCTGTGGCCGGTCCAAAAATGGGGGCCTGGCATGTGCCTGACATATTTCTCGCTTAGGTAATGGTGATCCGGGCTCTTGGATAATTCTTAGCTTTGAATCTACCCGAGATACCTTTAAACCCGCGATCTGCAACGAACCAGTCAAGTCAAGTCAAGCAAGCTCGCTCACTGATCCGACTACTACTGTACCTGCACTAGCTACCTCTCTTCTTTTCTTTTCTGCCCTCCAAGGGACATCCTGGCCTCGCCTCGCCGACTGCGAGCTCAGAGCCTCAACGGTCGCTCAGACCATACCCCAACAGCCCCGCACCTCGGCGCAGCAGACCAGAGGAAAGCAAAACACCACCTCGCAACATGGGCTCCAAGAAGCGCAGCTCGGCCTCCGGTGAGACTGGGAACGCCACTGATGCTTCTTCCTCTCGCAGCGGTCAACCATCCCGCAGCCTCAGAAGGAGAGCCGGCGACATTGTGAACAGCCTCAATCCGGCGGGCGCTGGCAAGGGCCCTGATGTGATGCAGCAGCTCGCTGAGATTCCCTTCAACGCCGAGGCCTTCCTCCAGGCGAAAGCTGCTCAGGCCAAGGCGCTGGATGCCGAGGCCAGTGAGACCGGTGAGGGCGAGGATGTCGTCGAGGTTGAGTATCAGGGGACTCGTCCGTACGTTCCGACGGTTCACGCTCATCTCAAGGGCGTCGACAAGGTCTGCCGAAATGGGGAATGGTCGAAACCACTTCAGCGCTTCTTGACGAGACTTCAACTCGGTTCAAACAATCTCAGCGTCATTTATGACTCAGCCCTTGAAAATGTGGGGATTGAACCTCCCGAGGAGACCGAGTCCTGGGTCGAACAGAGTGAACCCTCCAAATTCGCAGGCCACGTCTACAGATTCCTCGGCCGTCAATGCCGATCCGCCTCCTCAGATCGCCATCTCTATGTCCTCTATCACCCTGATGCCGAATGGCATACCGACTTTTACGAACTCCTGCAGGACAAGCCTCTGCCCAGCAACTTCCTCGGCTTCTCTGACAATCTGGATGCTCTCGTGGCGTTTGTGAGGTTCATCCGAAAGCGGCTCGGAAAGCGCGCCAACAACGCCATGTTCCACCTTCTCATTCCCTCATCCCGACCCATGTCCATCAGAGACGCTCTTGAGTTTCCAGATCTGGGTGATCTGGTCATTCACGGCGAGACTCACGGCGGTAACAACTACGTTTGGGTCAATCTACCCACTTCCGACGACTACCCCGCGAACCTGCTTCTGAAGCATGTTGAGAACGCTGTCCGCGGTGAGAGCGAATGGAAGACGACAGCGACAGTCAGCACAGCCATAGGAGGATTAACGGCATCATTGGCTGGCGCGGCTTTCACCCTCAGAGTCAAGGGAGCGCCCTTCCCATCCCTTAAGACCTTCGGAATCGGAGCAGTCTGCACCACCATAGCCGCCCGAATCAGAGGCGCAGAGTACCTTCCCCTAGCAGTCCTCGGCATCGGCGGACTCTGCACCACGATAGCAGCATTGCAAGTAAACAGAGGCCTGAGTAAGCGCATTCCCAGACTCATCGGCGGCACCGACACACCCAAGGAGCCCAAGGCAGAGCCAGAGAAGGAGGATTCAGCAGCCAGCGAGCAGGATGAAAGCAGGGACGAAACCCCCCACGAATCAGATGTTCTCCCCGAGCCAGAGCCACCAGTTGTTCCAGAAGAGCCATCCAAGATCAAAGACGACTCGGACGCTCTGTCCTTTGTGAGCAAGGCATCCAGCACGAGCAAGTCTTCGAGCAGCAAGAAGCATCGACGAAGTGAGAGAAGTGAGCGAAGTGAGCGCAAGCGCAGGGATAAATAAAGCATGGAAAACTATAAGGTTGGAAAGACAGAACAAAGTACAAAGTACACTGACAGACAGCTGGACTTTTGATGGTGTATTTTTTGTTTTTCGAATTGAATACGCTTCGAGTGCTGGTTTTTTTTGCTCAGTCTTTGGTTTTCATGAGTTAGAAAAACGCACGAAAGTAGGAATATAAATTGAAGACCTCTACTTGAAACGAGGCTGTTGTGTTCAACCCGTCCGTTTCTAACGTGCTGTTGGAATACTTCATCACATCATATTTGATGGAGATTGTATGAGCCATGTGAATCAAAACTCCACACAAACTTGCAGTGCGATAGGAGTTTTGAGCAAAATTTGCAAAATCTTAGGTTCTCCGACTCTGGTAAGTCTTCCATTACTTACAACTTATTCAATTGGTATTCAGCAGGTTGTTCGTTGGTATTAATTTGAGAGGAAACCCCTAGCTGTAGGGTAGTGAGCCCGGCGGAAGAAAGGGTTAAAATTACCGAGGTTCTGTCGCCCGTGGATCTCCCTCGTCTGATCATGGGGTTTCTAATTTTAGCATTTCTGTCAGATTTCTTACGGGTTGTCCAATTGGAGCCTAGCTATCTTCAGCCATATCCACTTTACATCCAGGATCCTGTAACCCGAAAGAAAACAGTCTGGATATGCAGGATCAGCATCTCGCTGTCTAAAACTTCGGCATGCATTGAAAGGATCATGGGGAAATCTTATCTAGAACAAGCTAGCTGAGATAGAAGTGATGACTAAGTACAGATGAGTCGCGAGACAAGGTCAATCGATACCAGAGAGAATGCAATACACCATACAGACAACAGACTATACCATCTACCAAAGCTCGCAAACAGGCTTCTTCTGAGGACACTTGAAGGCCCGCTGGAAATCAGCAGAGTTCTTCAGCGGAAGCAAAATCCTAGCCTGGTTAGGACTGTGCTCATCCGTCAACCCAGCAATGACCTGCGCAGGCTTGATGTTCTCACACCAATTCTGGCCCCACTTGACAAAGAATAACTGTTCATGCGTGAAGTTACCGAGCCCAGGCAGATCTTGCGCTTTCCCGTTGTCCTTCTCCCATTTCTTCCAGGCGGCAAAGCTAGACAGGATGCCACCGGCGTCTGCAACGTTCTCACCCAACGTGAGATCTCCGTCGATCTTCTCCTCTTCTCCATCAGGACCGGTGATGGTGAAGTTGCCGTATTGCTTGACGAAGCAGTCACTGGACTTTTTAAACCCTGCTGTAGACTTTTCATCAAACCATGCACTCTTGTTACCCGTCTTGTCAAACTGATGGCCACTGTTATCGAAACCATGGGTGATTTCATGCCCAACAATACTTCCCATGCCACCGTAGGTAATGTATGCGGGATAGCCAACACTGTAGATGGGGGATTGCTGGATGCCTGCTAGGATTACCATGGTGTTTCCTGAGGGCTGATGGAAGGCGTTGGTGGTCAGAGTACTAGACGGGAACTTCTGTCGATCAACAGGCTTGTCAAGAGATGCCCAGTTCTTGGCGACCCGAGACTTTGCGAAGGAAAGGGTGTTGAGGAGCAAAGACGGCGTGATTTCAATGTCAGAATAAAACTTGTTCACGACCTTAGCGTCAGTGACGTGGGGGGAAGTTGGTAAGCCGATCTTGCTCGTCATGGCGCGAACTTTCTCAACAGCAGTCTTTTTGACCTTATCGGTAGCCCAAGCTCTGGTTCCAATGCGCCCGATAAAAGCCTCCTCAAGATTATCGATGATCTGAGATGTGAACTTCTTAGCATCAGGCGTAAAGTGCTTATCGGCGAAGAATCGGGCGAGGATCCAAGTCAAGCCTGTAGGACCGACGAGCTGAGGAGCGACTTTGTCATTTGCGATCCAATCAACGCCGTTGTCTAGAAGAATTGCGCATCGCTGCCAGCGAGGTGTAGGACTGCCGGGATCTCTGCCTTGCTGCTTCGTCTTCCACGTGTTGTAGGCCTCGGTCTGTGGCGAGTCGACGTAGATGGACACAGCAGCGATGGCTTTCCAAAGGAAGTAAGTTTGGATGACCTCTGGAGGTGTCTGGGAGAACTTCTGCGAGATATTGTGGTGGAGCTCTGCGGATTCGAATATGATCTTGGAATCATCGAACCCCTCGGGGGCCAATTGATCAACGACATACTTGAAGTTTAATTGTGGAGCGAGCTCTTGAATATCAGTGATAGAAACGAATGGAGTCGCATCAGGAGTATCTTCAGTATCCTGTTCCTGGCCCGCCTCCTCTGTGGTATTTGTCTCTGGGGCGGCCACCGGTTGGAGCGAGAGCTGAAGGGAGACGACGGACTCCATCAAAGTCTTAGCCTCACCTCTGGTCAAGTTGGCAGGATGAACAGAGTAAATAAGTTCGCTTGCAATCTTAACGAACTCAAACATAT